GAGCCTCAGCAGTGCCTGCCTGGTCTCACGCTCCTCTGGCCACCACCAGCCCCTCAGGTAGGCACCATGGGGACCCCAAAACTGGCACCCCTCTGCACAGGCAGAGGATGTGGGGCACTGGGAGGGTGGATGCCTTGGGCATGGAGAAGGATGGGGGGCAAGATTGGGGACTGTGGCTTAGTCCCCCCAAATTTGGGGATGTCTTGTCCCTGAGATCCCCAGGGGTGACCCCACATCAGCAGGACAACCTCGTCTGTGGCCAGAGGCTGGTGGCCATCCCGGGAATCCCAGGCATCTCCCAGGGCCTCTGGCAGCTACACTGGGCTGAGTCACCCCACAGTCCTTCAAAGGTGCCGTGGGTGACTCCTCCTGGGATCCAGCCGGCACCTCCAGCACTTCCATCCCGGCGTAACCCACCCCGTGTCTCTCCTCAGGGCCATCACATTCTTCATGGAGACTGGCAACTCCTTCCAACAGGGGATGCAGCAGCCCCTCAAGCCCCCTGGGCAGCAGCCCTTGGGGTCTGGCAAGTGCAGCGATCCCGGGAAAGATCCTGGGTGCAGCGGGATTGGGAAGGGGCCGGTGCCGGTGGTCTGTAGCACTGTGTGGTGAGAGCAACGGACTGGGGGCAGAAGGGAGACAGGGAGGTGGGCAGGGTGGGGCTGTGGCAGTGCCAGGGTGATGGGGTTGGTGCTGGTAGACAAGTTTGGGGTCTGTGGGCCACCACATCCTAGTGTGGCCCAAGGGAGGAGACGGGATCTGCCAGGAATGGTGCCGTGTTGGGCTGCTTCTGGCAGCAAAGGAAAGACAGGTGTGTGGGCTCCCTACCCTGTCCCCAGGGAATTTGGAGCTCCACTGGGATGGGGTGACACAGAGCTCCTCACCAGCAGTGTGAGGAGGGGCTGGACCAGGGCTGGGGTCCCTCTGACACCCCTATCCTTGCAGTGGGAACCCCTACCTGGGGCTGGTGACCCACCTGCGGTCATCCTGGCTCTCTGGGAAGACACGGCCTGCGGAATATCGCCTGGCTCAGCTGGAGGCCCTGGGACGCTTCTTGGATGAGAAGAAGCAGGAGATCCTGGATGCCACCAATTTGGACATGGGCAAGGTGAGAGGGGCTGGGAGTTGGGGGCCACTGGTGTCACCTCATTGGGGTCCTTCTTACTCCCTGGTCAGAGTGTTGAATCCCCATGGGGGTCTGGGCATGGGGGTGTCCTCTTATCAGGGTCCTGCATCTCCCTTGGTGTGCTCCAGGGCTGGTGTGGTGCATCCATAGGTGCTGGATCTCTGCAGATCCAGAGTTAGAGGTGGGTCTGTGCTGCTGGCCTCATCCCAAGTGCCCTGGAACAGGATAAATCTCCTGTTGGCTGACTTGAGGTGGGAATGTTTCACCCTCTGTGTCCCCCCATGCATCCAGTCCTTGAGGGTCCATGTGACCTCCGCAGAGGGTGATGTCCTGGAGTGCTCCTGGCGCACCCAGGATTACTGGCATTGTGCAATGTACTGGCACTGCATACTCCTCCCAGGGCCTTGCAAGGACTGGCTTCACTGGCACAATGGCATGGGCAGGGATCTGGATGCCAGGAGCTTCTAGATGATCTGCTGACCGTCAGGAGAATCATCAGGGTTGGAAGAGACCTTTAAGATCATTAAGTTCAATGAAGCAGGAGCATTCCCACCATGGATAATTCTAGTGGTCTCAGCTTATCATCCCTGGAAGTGTTCAAGGCCAAGTTGGATGGGGCTTGGAGCAACCTGGGCTAGTGGAAGGTGTCCCTGCCCATGGCAGGGAGTGGAACTGGATGAGCTTTAAAGTCTCTTCCAACCCAAACCATTCCAGGATTCTATGATACGATTCTCACCTCTTTGTCTGGCATCAGCACAGCAGCCCGTGCCCTCAGTCATATCTTTCCACATCCTGTCATCTCCCAGGGTTCCTAATTGCCTTGTTTGTTGGAGGCAAGGCCTTATTCAGCCAGGCCTTGATAGGCATCAGTGCTCTGAGTGTATCCATCATCTCTCCCAATTAAGTGTAATTAGATCCGGTTGTCCAGTAATGACCTTGTTATGCAGCCAGGCCCTCATAGTTAGATGGACACTTCACCTGCTCTTACGTACCTGAGGTGGTGCCTCACCTCCAGTGATGCTGGTTTCTCTCCAGTGCCAATGACTGCGGACACTCAGATGACCTCAGACTTAATGTCCTATCTCACAGCCTTCATGTCCAATCAAAACCATTTAATGACCCATCAAAACCCTTAGTGACCCATCATCTTCCTCATCTTGGTGATGCAACTGTCATCCTGGGTTGAGAGCAGCTCCGTTGCTTCACCGGATTATCCCATGTGTCTGCTCAGCCCTCATGTCCAGGAGAGTCTCACACTTCCCTGGCAGTGGCATTTTGGGGACCTGATGGTCCCTTGGTGCTGGAGGATCCTGGGAATCAGCCACCAGCATTCCCAAACCCAAAGTGGTGTGGTGATGGGAGGAAGGCTCCAATCCAAGGATGTTTTGGTGTTGGAGGAATCTAAAATATGGTGTCACAGCATAGAAACTTTGCTCCTTCTGCTCTCCACAGTGATAGAGGGGCCCCACTGAGCCTGCTGGGTTATTCCTCGTGTCTTCATGCTTCTCCTGCAAAGCTGATCCTGATCTGTGCTCCATGGCTATGGAGAAGATCTCTTACTGGAGATATTGCAGAACCATCTGGACACAATCCTGAGCCATTTGCTCTGGGATGGCTCTGCTTGAGTAGGGAGATTGGACCAGATGATTCACTATGGTCCCTTTCAACCTCACTGATTTTGTGATTTTCACAAGGGCATGTAGTGATAGGACAAGGGGGGGGGAATCTGTGATTTTCTCTTTCATACGGGGTTTAATTAACCATTGCTCTTTGTATTTCCCTTTGATCAAGGTCTTAACTTCAGCTTTTGTCCATGGGTAGTGGGAGGGAGCTCAGGGCTTTGTTTCCAGCTCAAGTATCCGAGATCAGGATGCAGGAGCACTGCCCCATGCCAGGTCAGCAGCATGGAGCTCCCTCTGGCACCAGGACCAGCTCTTCTGGATCTCCAGAAGCTCCAGTGACATTGCTTGGTGTCCCCTTGGCTCAGGGCTCTGTTGCTGGTTCACAGCACTGGGTTAGGAATTTGTTAAATATTGTGAAAATATTCAGTTTTGGTTTTTTTAACCCTGGCCAAATACTTGTTTTTATAAAATTTCCAGGTCTAGGATATTCCCTGGGGGTTGCAGGAGGTGATGGCAACTTCTGGTTGAGAGTTCTGCAGCTCTTCATGCTCAGAAGAGGGGGGTGGTGGGGTTGATGTTAGGGTGACAGGGTCAGTGTTGGGGTCTGTGTTGGTGTGACACATCCATGATGTCTGTCCCCAGCCATCCTTCGAGGCTTACTTTAGTGAGATCCTTCTCTGCAAGAATGAGCTCAACAACACCCTCAACAACCTGTCCAGCTGGATGAAGGATGAGTATGTGGATAAGAACCTGGTAAGAGGGAAGCTCTGGGAAAAGGGAAGTGGGGGAGAGGGATTGCTGGTGGAGAGGGCAGTGCTAAGGTCATGGTCTTTCTCTCAGGTGACACAGCTGGACTCTGCCTTCATCCGCAAGGAGCCGTACGGGGTGGTGCTCATCATGGCGCCCTGGGACTGCCCCATCAAACTCATCCTGATGCCTCTCATCGGGGCCATTGCTGCTGGTGAGCCCAACCTTCCAACTCCCTGGCCTGGAGGATCTTGGCAGTGCTGGACACTGGTGCAGGGGTCTCATCCCCAGAAGGGCTGGCTGTCACCATGTCACTGTGCTGATGTCCTGTCCCTCTCCCCCCAGGGAACTGTGTCATTGTCAAACCCTCAGAGATCTCCAGGAACTGTGAGAGACTCCTTGCTGAAATGCTGAGCTGCTACCTAGACAATGTGAGAAGCTCTTCCTGTGCTTGCCCTTTCCCTGAGCTGTGGTGTTCCCAACCCAGCCTCGCACACACCCTTCTTCCATGCTCAGCCAGTGTCCCAGTATCCTGGGATGATGTGGGTAGGGACAGATGGTGACAGTAGGGGATCTGTCCTCTTTCCTTGCAGGACTGCTATGCTGTGGTGACCGGTGGTGTGCAGGAGACCACCAGGCTG